AAGTGTAGTCTAATTACTGAATGAACAATTTTTAGCTGGTTCTTTTAATGAATCAAATCCATACAGCATGACTAATGTAGTCAAAATGATCCCCAAACAAATGAGCTGGTTCTTTTTAATGAATCTGAATTGTAAACTGTAATTGTATTTAGATATCGTGAGACTTCACTGACTGGTTGTTCATATGACTATGTGTAGTTAAACATAAGCATTATGAGTTTTGTGTGTGGGTAGTATTTTATAAAATAAATAAGTGCATTAAAATTCTAAAGCTTTTTTTCCCAGTATTTAGTATTGCATATTTAACACCAATTTTATGTACTGCATCTATGATAAGACTATGAAGAGTCATTTAAACATCTGGGTAAAAACATCTTTTGCAGAAATATTACCTAATCAGCTAGAAAAAAAATTTATTTTCCAAATATTTCTTCTTCAGAAATACTAAAAGAATCATTCTTTTAAGAAACCAGAATCACTGAGAGGAATCTAATTATTCAATTTCTCTACAATTCCAATGCCTAGTTGTTATGGCTGTGCTTAGCTGCATGCCCAGTGGCACACTATATATCATGCCTGCTGACAGGCGAGAAAGAATAACAGAAGATCATCCTTTGACAGCCGCAGATGCCAATGTATTCCACGCGGGAAGCGGAAAGACCCCTTCTCAGTCATTTGAATGAGCAGAATATTGGTGCACTCTAGAATTAATGCACCAAATATGTTGTTCTGTCGTCCAGAGCCATTTCGAAATCTGCTTTCTGCCAAGAGTTTCATGTTTCTAACCAAGCCTGACAAACCCTGATCAGTGAAGCCCAAGAGACTGAGCAAAGGCTAATAACTGTAATGAGATTAAAATGGGACTGTAAAAAAATCTGCCTGGCGCTGATTTGAAGATAACAGAGAGTGAGATCTAATGAGTCAGCATGTTCTTTATTTCAAAGAATGGATTATGTACAATAGCCTACCTCTCTGTGATGGTCTCCCTCAGACCGCTGGTGACACCCTTCATGACGGTGCTTGCTTTGGGAGTGAGAACCACTTGGGAGACAAAAAAGGTGCCCTTACGTCTCCGATCCTTTACTGAGGCTTGAAGGAACTGAATGAGCTTCTCAGGATCTGTGGTATTGGCCCAAGGAGAGGGCATCATCTGACCCGGCCACAGGAAAGGAACCTCCAGAGCCATGGGATTGTGATAGAAGACCAGCACCTGATACTCTTTCTCCCAGAGGTACTTCAGGCTTACCTCTTGAGCAAACACTACTGGACAGAGTCGGTCCCCGAAGATGGTGCGCAGCATCTGGACCAGCTTCTCGTGATGGAGGTTCTGTACTCCGTAGAAGTGGTTGAAGTCCAGGAACACAACCTCGCGAGCGTGGGAGGCCAGGAAGGTGCTGATCTGCTCCAGGCCTTCACGTACGGTGGCGCTGAACAGGCCGTGTGCAAAGTAGAGCTCATTTTCGGGGTCTCTGGGTTTGGTGGATATGCGGAGGTCAAAGAAGCGGATGCCCGCCTCCAGCTGGCTGGTGAAGTTCATGGTCTGTGTCGCCAACCACTTCCTCATCAGCTTCTTGGCCACTGTGCCAAACACAGAGACAAAGTTCTGCACGGTCTCAGGCTGCTCC